GTTAAAACCTGGTGATTTTCAGGTGCGCTCTGCAGCGTCCCAACCCCTGTACTAGCATAATTACGAGGCCTTGTAATTTTCTTATGGTGAATGCAATGTGCTTCTGTAAAGCTGAAATACAAACCAGTGTTGCAAGGGGGAAAAAAAGACAATTTGGTAATTATAACATTATTTACACATCAGAATTTGCCTGAGAATCATCAAGTTTGTAAGATTTCTTCCAGCATTGCACAGTAAGAACAAACGTAGGTTCTTAATCTTCCAAAACGTAAACAAAATAAAGCCTATCAACAGGAACCAAGCTGCAGGAAACACCAACTATCACTATCTGTCAGGACAGAGATCCTGTGTGGGATATCTACGTAATGAACAGGAGCTTAAATATGAAGGTTTTCTTTGGAAACTGTCACAAATGTTGGAAGTCATCAGTTGTGAACAGACAACTTTTACAAGAACCAGGAAATATAATGTTGCCACAGATACAAGGAGTTACTGTTTGCAGTTATTACCATGTACTACTGGACGTATTGACAGTGATCACAAAATTACTTAATCCTGATGAGTCTCAGGGAAGTTCTGAAGTGTTTCAGTCCATAGACACATAGTGCACCAGTCAGCTAAACCTACTGGATTCATTTATCAAAGTGGTGTTCAGGATTTTATTATTATTTTTGTTTTTTACCTCAGACATGTGGTCAGGCGCTCTTCTGGGTCCATCAGGCCCTAAAGTAGGTCCAAAAAAAGCCCATGGTACAGTTCCAGCCGCTGCACACATAGGATGCACTCCTTGTATTTAGCTGAACCATCACCTGCAGGTCCTCATTGCTTGATGTGGACTTTTGTAGTGTGACTTCTTAGTACTTCACATTCCATAATTGCGTCATGTTTGGCGTGAATATATGTTAAAACTTCCTCTGGGTAAAAAGAAAAAAAAAACGCTATTTAGTCAAATCACTATGTGAAAAGACTTTGAACAAAAGGTTCTGGGAAATAATGGGCTTTTACTTTAACATTTCATAGTTAAAACAATTATTCAAATAAAGTAAATGAGCAGATTATTTAATGAGTTAACTGGCTACAGCTTTGTATTTAAATGCCGATTTCTCTCTGTTCAGATTCACACAGTGATGATGAGCTGTTTGATGGACCAGACCTGGCACCAGTGAGGAAGAAGATGGGGCTCAACCAGGAAATAAAACATGGTAAGAAAGATTTTCTGTTGGAGAGCAGCTGGTGAAGAGCCAGATGTTTTCCTTAGGATCCCAGAACAGAGCTGAGAGAGAGAAAATGCTGGACAGATTGAAACTACCTCCACATTGTGTTGCTCTTTAACTGCTGGCTGACAAGTTCACCATCTGCACAGACAGTAAACTGTCTGAGTTTTTAACCTCTTTTTAGAGAAAACTCTGAGTCCTGACAGAACGGTGCTCGCTGTGTCTCTGGAGGAGTCTTTGCCTCTGACTGTGACTGACACACAGCCTGTGGCGAACAACTACATTGACTGCACCGAGTCCAATGATGAAGATGAAGACGAGGAGGAGCAGAGAGCGCAGGAAGCAGCAGGGCACACAGAGCTGACACAGGCTCCCAAGAAAGAGAGGAGTAAACCACCTGAGGACGAAAGCAGAGAGACTTGTAATGCGCTGAAGTGGGAAGACTTCTTCACTGTAGAGACGCTGACTGACAGCCAGAACAGCATCAACAGCCAATCAAAATCCTGCTGCTCTGTCACCACTGCCTCCCCCTCCAGGATGACTAGCTCACAGACGCCTGAACTGTTCAGCGAGGACGAAACGACAGAGTGCGATGAGAACTTCAGCCTGACCCTGTCCAGTCACTCCTCTCAGAACACAGACTCCTATGTACCTCACACAGTGATCCTCCAACAAGAAGACCCAAGTTCCAGTAGCATGCCAGAGAAGGAGTGTGATGGTCTTATCCTTTCGATGGAGCCGGAGGAGCCATCTGGATCTCAGGCGTCGTCAGACTTTGACATTCCTTGTACGCCGGAGTCGAAGGTGCCGCAACCTGAAGACCTGTTGCAGCTGTACCGGAAGTTGGCTTCAGGAGAGGAGGTGCTCATCAGAAAAGGGGAGTCAGGGCTCTGTGTGACTGACAGAAAGTTGTAGGTGAGTTACATCGCTCTTCCTGTGCACAGCTGGCAAAATGGCAAGAATTAAAGGGTGCAGCCGGTGATTTCCCATGTTGTCATTATTGTGTACAAATCCCATCCAGAGACTAACAGCAAGAATGAATGTGGTGTACTCACTGTGATGTATGCAAGTCCAGACCCTGGTTTAGCTTTTGCTCTGTGCCGTAGACCCTAAACACACTTGTAGTGGGAATTTATATTAGTATCCTTTTATAGTATTGACTGTTATTATATGCAGTTATTTGTGTGCTTGTGACATGACAATTGACTGTTGGCATGAGTTAGCATGTTTGTAGTGATAAGTATGCCTTTGTGTGACTGCTGAACTAGATAACCTGTGTTCTGTTTTAACCAGTATTCTGTTTCCTTTATCTGTTTGAACATCTGTTTTCTGTTATTGTATGCTGAGTATAAGAAGGGTGGTCACATTCTGTTCACTGAGCTTCTTCCCTCAGACTGCCTTGACATCCTGTGTAGAGACTGCTCCTTTTCTGCAGAAAATAAATGTACAATAACTTTCAGAGTTGATGTTAAGTCTTTATTTTGCACTCATCAAGCTTAAATAGATAATTTTGCCACAACACACTCCAGTGAGCCACACCGCTGCACTGGGTGGCAGGGTTCAGGTAAACAGGCCCTTCTGTTTTCAACAAACAGCTCCTTATCGTTTGTTGGACAACACTGGGGCTCTATGGCACTGGGTAGTAAGCTAGAACAGGGTATGGACTCGCACACATTATGCTGAGTACACAACACTCAGTGTCACCATTAGTTATTGTGCACAAATCCCATCCAGAGACTGACACACAAAGTCACAGGCCTGGTCCTTTAGAGTCCCCACAATACAAATAAACGCATCTCTGGAGTCACTCAGCTTAATAATTAACATCATCCAGATGAGGCAAGAAGGTTCAGGCCAACCAAGGAGCAGTACTGGGGCCTGATAACAAGTCCAGATTTAGATCTAAAGGTGCATAGATGCTATTAAACGTTAAATTATTAAGCTGCAGAATAAGCGACCAAATTCTTCAGTGTAACGTTTTAGGGAAAATGTACATTAACCAGTTTGTTACCTAAAATATAACTAATGTAAGTTTAACCATGAAGTCACAACGGGTGGATCCAGAAAATTTTGGATGGGGTGCCCAGGCTGGGGCACAGACTCAGAGGGGTGGCACATTTGAAATGCATGTAAAAAGTAAATTCCATCCATCCACTATGTAAACTGGCGTATTCCTGAATACCCTAAGAGCTAAATGCTGCACCAGAGATCCACAGGAGCCCAGTCCTCACCTAGACCTCTGTCTGTGGTACCTGTCAATGTGCCGCTGATGTTGGGGGGAGACACAATCAACACGGCGCTGCCAGATGGTATCCAAGAATGCACCACTGGACCCCTCAGCCCCTGACGCACAAACATGTATTTACATCAGTAAGGGTACCAATACAACAACATAAAAGTACGACTTAGTAAAAGTACAAAACCATTATTGGCTAAATGTACCTAAAGTATTGAGAATGTCTTTCACAACTGGAAAACAAAAGTATCACTACACAATCACTGGACCATCCTAACAGAATCAGAGAAAATACCATCCACTCATCCATCCATTATCTATACTGCCTGAATAGAGTCGAGGGGGGCGGGAGCCAAACCCAGCTGACACTGGGCGAGAGATGGGGTCCACTCTGTACAGACAACCACACTCAGTCTAGATGTAGTCACCAGTCAACCTAAGCTGCACGTCTTTGGACTGTGGGAGGAAGCCAGAGAGAACCCACGCAGGCTCAGGGAGAACATGCAGAAAGGCCCTGGGTCGGCCAGGGAACCTTCCTGCAGTGAGGCATCAGTGCTAACCACTGTGCCACCCCCCAGAATGTAAATTAAACACCTAATCTTAAAGATAAGCAATAAATTAAGAATCTAGTGGTTTTGTGTAAAAAGGAGATGCATGCAGGGCATCGCTGCTGCACAGTGGTTCCCCCCCACTGAGGCAAATCCTCCACAACACAATCACAGAAATGAATCCAAATAGTATGCTGCATGCATGATATAAAAAAAACTCTGCTTTGATGAATGCAACAACCTGTCATTTAAATTTACATTCATTAACACTGGCAAGCATCACATTTTGACTCTGGCCGGGGTGGCCATTCAGATTATGGGGCTGGTCAGCTCCACCCACGAGTCACAGTAAGTTAAACAGACTGAGCATGTCACTCACAGTGTGAACGCACTGACATGCTACCAGATCCTATTTCAAACACACACTGAGCAGGTGGAGCACCTCAGCCCAAGCTCTAAACCACACACGGTTCATTCCGACACACTTTAAGCCTGTTTGCGTCCTACATGTCTGAATGCACCTGCGCCCATCAGACGTTTGTGGTTTGTTCTGCTCAACGCTTTTATCTGTGTAGGACCGGAAGTCACGTACATGAACTTTTCTGTCAAAAGTAATTAAATATTTATTTTCAACTACAGAGCATGTGTGTAATCAATGCAACTTTTAATAATTAGACTTCACACTTTTGTTTACAGTGAACCCATTACTGAGCTGAAAGTTAATTGGCAACTTCTGATAATGAAGCTTGAATGCTTTTACACTCTGTTGCCATTTTATTAGGAACACCTGTGTTAAACCAAGTCCTCTAACAATCCTGCAACAAATCCTCCTCCCTGAAGGCAATGATGTTCAGACTTCAGCTCTTTGCACACAGACTGAACATTATCAACTTCAGGGAGGAGGATTTGTTGCAGGACTGCTGGAGGAGACAGACACAGGTGTTCCTAACAAACTGACCACTGAGTGTGTGTGTGTAAGCTGAGTATTTTGTTTGGACAGCTGGCTGAATAACAAGCTATGAAAAATACTTGAACTTAATGCAGATTTTTCACTATTTTGTGACATTTTATTCACAAACCAATTAAGAAATAATCATCATTAGCTACAGCCCTGCTCACTTGTTGAACACACATCCAAAACTGGTGGGAACTGAGTATATATTTATTTGAGTACTGTACTTACATACAGTTCCAGGTATCTGTACTTTACTTGAGTATATCCCAGTTATTGCAGCTTCATACTTCACTACATGTCAGAGCCATATTACACATTTCACTGCACTACATTTATTTGACCATTTTAGTTCCTTTTCAGAATCCGATGAATAAAACTTGGTGGGAAAGTCACAGGATTCATAGCAGTATGTATGTAAAGTAGTTCAAATTGTAATTATTAGGTTCAAAACCATACAACAAAACAGCACACGGGGTCGTTATAACTGGCTCCATCTACAGAAGCTGCAACATTAAGGTTTATTTGAAATTGTAATCAATGCATAATGAGTACTTTCAATTTTATTTTGATGCAAACACTTGTAACACTTTGAATGCAGGCCTTTTACTTGCAACATTATTTTTACACTGTGTACTTAAGCAAAGGACCTGAGATCTTCTCCCACCACTGAACATACATACACACCTATGGGGCTTTAACTGATGGTTACTGTCTGTGCAGATTCTCAGTCATCCAGGTCACAGTAATGTAATACCCCAGTTCTTTTATTGGACATATCTGAATGATGACGGAGTCCGACTTTCTTCATTTTAGTGCTGGTTTATTTAAAAAAGCCACAAATAAAAGTTACAGAAACACAACCTGGGTGGCTCCCTCCCTCAGACAAACTGCTGGAGAAGAGAGAGACCCCGGAAACACAGAGCCTAATACATTTATAAAGTTTTGGGCTGGCCCTTACACAGACAGATGTAAAAACATCATGAGTTGGAGACAGTCCGACGTCTCCTTCTCATATCTTATTAACAAAGTGAAGAATTCCTGCCCTAACCCTCTCCCAGTGGCTTCATGGTGTTTTATATTTAGCTCTGATGTTTTTGGAAAAAGGCCATTTATCACTTATTTCTGCTGACTAACACTGTCACCTCCAGACAAAGCTCCCAGCCTATTTTGAAAAATGTAATGTATTGTATGTGTAAACTTGAAATTTCTGTTCCTTTTTCTGTTTATACATTGCTAATTTGGTTCATAAATAAAACTCAAGGCCCACTTACTAGTTTTGTTGTTGCTGTTTTAACACATCTTTAAACCTAAGGTTTTTTTGTTTAGCACTGGTTAATTTATTACTAACTATAACTCTTATGTCACTCTTACAAAAATGATGAAAAACATAAGTAATACAAAGAAAAATAATACTGATCATTTTTCATGTATTTGATCAATATTCTCTGGTATATAAACAAAATGGATCAAAAACTGTTAAACATATTCAGGTTATTTTTACATCATCAAAGTGAGTTTACCCATTGTCTTTAGGGTAGTGTGAGACATACATGAGTATTTTATTGATTTAATACATTATTGATTTTAGTTGATTTATATGAGGCAGCAGTGGAAGGACAAGGGACTGGTGAACAGCTGAAACCAGAGAGATTTCAGTGTCCTTTCCATTCTGTTTTACGGCAGAGTTAATGTGTAACAAGCTCCAGTCAGGGTGTCTGTGTGGTCTTGTTTATATATGTATACTTGTGGGGATAGAACACTGGAAGAAAACTGCTTTGCAGGGTCCAGAAGTCACTTGTGGGGACCAGAGGCTGGGCCCCACAACTAACTCATCAAATTTTACTAAAATGACAGGGTGTAAGGTTAGAGCAGGTGTCAGATTTGGTTACGGTTAGCATAGGTCTCCTGGAAAATCAATGTAATTTTGAATTTCTGAATGTTCATCATCTCCTCTGATAAAATTTCAACCCTAGCAATAGAGCCATCCGGAGCAGTATTATTTAAGATGTAAGTACAACACTGTTGCCCAATCATAGTGTTAACTATTGATGATGCTGGACTGTATGGATGCCTGACATAAATGCA